CATGCAGCAGCACACGTGCAACTTCCAGGGCGGCCGGAGTTGGACTGGCGACGGCGACGGAGACTGGAGTGACCCTGTTGCTATTCGCAGGCAGCGGCGAGGGGGTGGAGCCAGGGAAGGTTCGAGACACATTATAGGGAAGGGATTACTTCTATTTAGCGTTTTTGATTATTTTTACTAATTTTTTCCATACACGTTTATTAAGATGCCGGAAAAGATAACATCCACAAGTTCATCACACAGGTGTTGAGATCGATTTTTACGATAAATTTGAAAGTATTTTAAACAATATGAATAACGTTAGCTAAAACAGATAATAGCAGAAAAAAGTATCTTTTCTCTCTTTATGAATACTATTAAGAGCGACCAATTAATGAAATTTTCCATCTAATTAACTAGTGAATGTGGAAAAAAGTTCTGATTGAAACTTATCGACAGATGAAGGCAGTCGGTTACAACCGAGGAGCATTTATCTGTGAATTATCTATTTCCCGCGACTTCCCTCGTCACAGATACATACATTTTCTAGAGTCCCGAAAGCGGTTACCTATTTATTTATATTGCACCGCATCCGTTTCAATAATAACTTTTATATAAAAATTTTCATCCTCACTTTGGACCTTTTGGATTTTTTTAGATAAAGGAAAATGTCCAAAAATCTCACGTCTCTAGGCGCTGTATTTTGTTATTGTGAAAAATTTCTAGATACGAACTTTCATCCCCTCATTTTAAAATCGTTACACAAAAATAAAAACTGAAAGATGTTAGTGATCCTTGCATGAGTTGAACCATCAGTTATTTACATTAAAAATGTCAAAAGACTAACATTTAATGCAGAGCGCAAGCAAAAAACTTCAACGAACCCGATGTAATATTTTATTTTACTTTTTAGATTTATCAGAACGCTATCTTTGTTTGGCGTTCCAGGAATACCTTGCAAAAGTTTTTAATAAAAATCCTGTTCGGAGCATGAACGCATAAGTGACAAACTTTGATTTTTATTTATATAAAAAAAGTAACAAATGTAGAAAAAATATACCTCAACATAACTGATTTGATTTGTGACACTTTTAGGTGTTTTTCAGAAATCATTGATTTATGAAAACTGACCGCAAAATAGCTTGTGAGCTGTTATTCGACACATTCAGGAGGGTTCGAAGGAGGTAAACCTTTTCCATGCGAATGTATGTGTATAGGGTTGTAAGTATATGTCAATTCTATTGTAACCAGTAGCCATTTGTACTGGAGCCGTCTTACGCGGAGTTGATTCACAGATCCCACCGCCTTAGGCCTACTTCATCATAGTAATATTACATTACAAATACGTTACAGTTCCATATAACTTAAAATTTGGCTTAACCGATTTGTGTTCGGTTTACACTAATGTATTGTAGTAAGCGTCACTTAACATTTAGTGCCAGTATAACTCGAGCAGTGTATAAAAAATGTGTCAATTTGAATTTTAATCCATTTCCTTAGTTTAATTCTTTTAACTTATTTTTAATTTTCTTCTTTCTTAATATTACTATAGGTATTTTTTATATCATATGTCACATCTTGATATATTTTCTTATCCTTACAAGTAAAGGAATGAGGACCTTCGACACGCACATTCATGAAACGATACGCGGAATTACCTACACTTCACGGTTATTTTGTATGTGACTTTATAACACGAAGGCGCGGTGCCTAGTGCGACCGCCTACACCGCCTACGCCTTCCTCCGGCTCTGGCGCTCATTTCTAAGCAATGACCTATCCATTTATGTAGATAAGTGTCTGTAGCCAACCGAGTGAAACGATATTGACGTGTGAGGTGACCTGAGTCTCATAGGGGGAGACAGTATTTTTTAACATATAATTATCTCTTTATAAGTTGTTGTTGAATTGTCTTTATAACTGAATCGATTGAATAAGTAAAGATGAGAGAGAGGCAGTAGAGATGAGATTACTGGCTTACCCAGCAATAAGTCAAATCATGAGGTACTTTTGCCTCACGACTGGTTCCAGTGACGACGTCTCATCATGCAACATGTCAGTTCGCGCAACAACTATTACTTCTTTCCTGTGTTTTTAATATATTTTATTTGATATTTGTATATTGGCTCCAGGCGACGGAATACAGGGACTGGTTTAAATCTCTTTTACGTTTCCACAGAACTCTCTCGAGTGCTTCGGCTTAGCCCGTTGTGGAGTCAAACAGGACCTAACATAATTTACACTTATTTTTCACTGCACAAGAGAAATGTTACCTTTGTTTGAATAAGAATAAGATGAAATGTTTTGTGTATGTTTAAAAATAGTTTGTATTTGAGTTTCGGCAGTGGACCGAACAATCTTAGGCCTTTTCCTTAGAAATCCCAACTACAGCCTACCCAAGGTGTAAAAGATTTTTACTATTTCCGCGCGGCCGAAGACGCTGACAAAAGCTAGGCGGATTATAAGATCGATACTTATCATAGAGGTGCTCTATTCAACCTTATTTCATACTTAATATGATAAACGTGAAAGCTTAGGTGGATTTATGTTTGTTAGAGTTTGTATACTGAACGGCTCGAGGGATCTGGATGAAATATGACATAGTTTAAAAGAACACATTGGCTACTTAATTTTGTTTTTTTTTTATTCTACGTGGACATTGTCGCGGGCGAAAGCTAGTAGTTTAATAATCTACCATTAGTTTCACACCAAGACAAAGCTGAATAGCTACTGTTTAAGCATATAGGCAGACATAGTAAAATACGTTTGATCAGTAGCCGTACTGGCAGTCTTCGCTCTCGGCGTTCTACCCACGTGTGAAACTAGCATTATCTTAGATATGTTAGAATTAGTATTAATTATCATTCTAGTGGTTATGTACTAATTAAAGAAGATCGAGTATATAAATGCGTGTAGCTGTTACAGTTTGCAATAAATACTTCGGCAGTTGTACATCATGGGATCTCTGGTTAGTTGCTTTTAATTGGTTTTAATATTATTTTAATTAGATTATCTGTTTGTGGGAATTTTGATATAGAATGTTGTAATTATTATAAGACTGCGACCAAGTTCGGAACATGCCACCCTTTTTGATAATTCTTATAGATACGTTTTTATGATAAGTCTAACTTTCGCCCGCGACTCGGTCCGCGTGGAATTAAAAGAAAACAAAAGTAAGTAACCTGTGTTCTTCTAGACTATCCTCTACATCTATGCCTTATTTCATCGAGATCCAATCAGGCCGTCTAGGCTCAAAACTACCAATCATCCATCCATACAAACTTTGGATTACTAGTATGATTACATGATGATTTTTGTAAAACTGTATGAACATTTACTTCAATTTTAATTTTCTTACATTAAATTTAGGAACAGGGAAAATAAACAAACTCAACAGCTATGTTTTATTATTCCGGCGACATCGGCCCACTTTCTTCCTACGTTAATCTATTTGAAGATTCATTATAATTAAAGGTATATCAGCAACAGGATGTTTTGCAGGTTCGCTGGGCTGTTGTTGCTATCGTGATATACAGCGTCTCTCTTGCGGTGTGTGAAGTCGAGTTGTCTCATCCCTCATCACCTCACCCCAAAGATATGTAAGACATGTTACTCTGGATGTACATTCATATAAGAAATCTTTGGCAAATATAGCTGAATTCGAATTCCGGTATTTCACTATTTTATTTAGAACTAGCTTTCACTCGCGACTCCGTCGAACTCTAACATCCATCCATCTAAACGTTCGCATTTATAATATAAGTATGATTTTATTTCTCACGTCCCCTGTATGTGTTTTGTGCCGATATTTCTATTCGATATTCGATAACTCTGTGACACCTCATTTTTAGAAATCGGTTCATTTTCATAGACTCTAGGTCTAGGGCCAATACGAACTTACAAACATATATGCGCAAAATACATATCTAACTTTGTCAGCCGAGTAATATAAACTAAGAAAAGAAAATGAGCGAAGCAATGTGCGAACAGCTAGTGACGTTATAAAATCAATACGAGAAAGTCTCCATCCCTTAATTTCTTCAAACAAATAATTGGAATTGTCAGAAAAATAACATTTCCAAGTATTTAGTGCCCGCTCCGTAAACATTTCTCTCGTATACTTCACTAGAAATTGCTAGAACCTTCAATAAACTCTATTGAATCGTAATTAAATTGTATAAAATTTTCCAATCCCTTGACGATAGCTGAACAAGGTAAAAAAACAGAAAATCTTTCATTGTTTATCGATATGTGTTTGCACTGACTGAAACAAGTACATATTTCAAGCTTTAATGTTCAAATAATAAAAAAAAATAACTTTTACTATTATATATTTAATCGGCAGTAAGAGTCAAAATAATAAAGTAGGTAAGTATCTTATTGGTTTGAAAGTTAGAAGTGATGATGTATTATATCCTTGTGCAGGTACGTGGTTCGCGCTACAGTCTATCAAGTTGGTATCATAACCAACAAAACTGATCACAAAACAGACAAACAACAGTAAGTAACTTCAACTTGTACAGAAATTACATTTTTTAACGCTACACATAGCGCTATCTAGTAGCCATACTGAACACTTCTAAACTTTCTACGTCTCGACCAGTTGGATGAATTTTCATTAAAGATGGTAAAATAAATTAAACGGTTTATTTAAAATTTAATGCTTTAATGAAATTAACTAAAAGATCAAAGGAAAATACAAATTTTTTAAGTTAGCATTCTTTCCGTGGTTTTGTTATTAAATACCGTACAAAGATGGCGCTAGTAACAAATTATGGTAAGTTGAGGACGCCTTGTACGGCTTTTGCCTGATGATAATTAATTTAGTACTTCAACTGTTTGTAAAGTTAAGGAAATGAGTTTAATTTTGTTAAATAAAAATAAGTAGTTCTCTTTTGTATTAAACAAAGTGGACAAGATAAAATGGGCCCTGGCTATAGTTAAATTTTACATGTGTATATTTTTGTGAAAAAATACTTTTAAATTAAGACTAGTTTTAGCACACTACCCCGACTGCGTGCAATCAAAAAACAATAGCCGCTGTATTTTTCTAGGTTATGTTCAAGAGCTATGCCAAATTTCATCGTTCGTAACAAACATTCATTCATTAATCTAATCTTTTGCTGTTTTAAATATTAGAAGGATATTAATTATTCGTTTTAATATTTGTGCAGAGGCCATCAAGAGTCCATCACATTTTACAACCGCAATGGATCCGGCATTGATCTGAGTGGTATAAGCAACCCACTTGTAACCAACGTAACAGCTCAAAGTATTGTTGGATTGTCGCCTGTGGATAATGTCAATCAGACACGAGTTTTACCATGGAATGCTCTAGAAAAGCTGGCTTCTACGCAAACTACAAACACTTCTGGTATGTTAATGCAAATTCATCGGCCGAGATAAATTGCTATTATATTTTGCCAGGAGTCCTGTTTTAAATAATGTCATTCTGAAATATGATTTTAAATTTAAAAACCTTGCATGACTTCCGTCTTGTTGATTTCTGCTTTCCCAATGTAGTATGGCAGGTTGACAATAATAACTTGTACGGCTCCTGATTTTTAATGACAACCTTTGAACATATTTTAATCCGAAATATTAATTAGAGAGCTACTTAAACTGGCTACTAAGCTTTTTTATCCGAATTAACATCGATCGACTCGGATGATGAAATTGTTGGTAACCAGCTTTACCGCTACTCATAATTACATTAGTCATTACACGATAATATAGTTTTCACGTCGAATTTTAATATTTTTTGTGTAATTCCAATATTGTACGTACACTCAAATTATCTGTAATAACATCTAATTCACACTTATAGGTTATTTTTAAGCAAGAAGGAATCCTGAATTTAGTTGTATTTTAATGTATATTATGTTGGGAATTTCTTTGAATCGCATTTCATGTTTTTATAATTTGAGTTAAACATTGAATTACACTATTTCATGGTAGTGAATACTGAAAGTAGCATCAGTGGTGGAGAAATTAAGAAGTTAAAACCATAGGTATGGGCATGATATTAGGAGGAAAGAATGGTATGTGTCAAGGACACCGTTTAATACCAGCATGGAGGGATACACCGGTAGAGGTAGACCTAGGAGATAGATGGATGGCGTTAACGTGATTAAGTAGTAAGGACTGAGATGATGGAAGATAGAATAACTTGAGTTGCAGAAACGAGAGAGAGGAGGATATTCGAACTAGACGTGAGAAAGAGAGAGAATAAATCATTAACTGTGATTCAACTTTTATACAGATGAGCAGCAACCTTCCAAACAGCTGTGGAGGTCCAGACGTGAAGTGAGGGAGCTTCCAGCAACATTGGTGAAGGGGGCTGCTGTGCTTCCCCCCGCGAGTGGCATACAGTCCCTGTCCCTCCCCCCTCTTATTGCTTTAAACAACAATCTCTCCCATATCCCAGTACCGATTCCAAACACCTCTATAGTACGTTACGCTAAAATAAATACTTTACTAAAAACAAATTAAATGTACCATTAGTACTAAAGTTAGATAAAATAGAAAATGGAATAAATGATTTAGTAATATCATTGTTTTTTTTTGCCAGAAACTAATTTTTAAACATTTAAATTGATTAAGTCCTGGCGACAATTAATTTATCTTTTCATTAGATTAAATATATTGTTACTTAGTTACTGAGATATGAAAACTCTATCTTAAAAGTCATACGGTCATCAACTTTTCTGCCTATTATGTTTTGATACGTTTATCTGCAAACTTTATGACCACAAGATTGTTTTATACTTTTACAATTCTACATATAATTGCAAATGACGGTATCTGAGATGAAAATAATTACCTGCGAATCCCCCTTTGTTCTATGCCGGTGTAATAAGAACATGACTTGCTTTGTGGAAAACTAATATTAACGGAAGTAAACGTTCAACTGCAGTTAATTGCAAAGATATTACACCGTTGGAATACTTGGAAGGTGAATAAGTACAGGCTTTATCTAAGTACATGTACTTGTTTTGTAGGAAATTAATAAAATAGGCAATAATAATTATACTTTCTTGGATACACACACTTAAAATTCGGACAGATTTATTGTTCGTTTTTTTATTTTATTGTGGAAATGTAAATAACTATTTCTGTAACTTTCAGTGACGTGATGCAGCAGCTACTAATTTAGTATGCATTAGTCAAATAATGATTCCAAAGCGCATTGACTTTTGTAGAAATAAAATGTAATTAAAAATAGTGAGAATCAGTTTTTATTTTACATTTGAATTAAATCCAAACACAATACCTTCATTGTTCATAAATTGCGTGTTGCAGTAACGTTTGTTATATAATTATCGCACTATATATGAATGTAATAGAAAAGTTAAAATAAACCCACCCTTATAAACCTTCACAAGGCTATAATTACAGATTTGTTAAAAATAGACATGATTGCATCATCAACTTAACAACTGATATAAAATATTTAGATATGATATCTGTTTTTTGAACACAAAACCTTTACGAAATAAATTATAACACATTAAATGTAATTGTCTGCTTGTTTTATTCAAGGGGTCTCAATAGAACTGGTACAATTTAACATTGGTGGAGCCCGCTTCAAGATCTTGAATGGGCCTTCTCGCTCGGTGTAATACCACGACCACACAGAAGACAGGCGTGAAGTGAGAGTATTTCTACATACAGTCTGATGAGCTTGCCGGAGGCCTAATGTTAATCCCTTTCCATCCTTTTGTTATAAGCAATAAATGGGAAAGGAAAGTGGGAACGCATAGGACGGGGAAATATCCTCTTTATGTGCGTCTCCTTCTCTTATTAAGGCTAGGCAGCGTAGATGTACTTGCGGATGTTTGTGGGCAGCGGTCGATTCTCCATTTTGGCATATCCAAGTGGCCACTTTCTCGTTACTACCTTGCGGTACGGTGTCATGTAACCAGGGTAAAAAGAGGTACGCCGTATTTATCTTGCCCAGGACGCTGGTATCGCTGAAGTCGGCACTGGAAGAGTCGTTTTTTATACTTTATATGTTGTTACCTCATTATCATATTCAATGTCATACGATAAACTACATTATGACGTTTCATGCAATCGTGTATCAAGGTTAAAATATTACGATAACATTTGTTATGTTTGAAATACATGATCGAGTTGAGAAAGTTACATATCGGACATAATACTGACCAAGTTACTTTCAGATGAGTTTATTTATAGATCAGAGTGATCTCTCACGATGAAAGAACCCTAATAAGTAAATTTTGATCTTGATTATCCAAAAGGACGTTTTGCTTTTTTTATATAATATAAGGTGGCAAACGAGCAAGCGGCTACCTGAATCCATAAACATCCACAATTGCAGATGTGTTGCCTACCCGTAATTGACGGAGGAGGAGACGAACATAAAGAGGATATTTTCTCTTGCTATGCGTCTTCTCCACCGTCAAATCCACTTTTCCTTCACACCCTTTCCTCTTAAGAAGAGGGTGGAAAGTGAAAGGGACTAAAATTTGGCCTCCGGCACCACATTCATCAGACGAAACGCGAGATTGGTGGTCGTGGTATTACACCGGGCGAGCCGGCCCATTCGTGCGAAGATGCTAAAGCGGGCACTACCACTGTTTTGTTTTTATAGAAAAGAAAATGAAATCGTTATACTCGTAAGATTCCGATCATTTAGTGGGTCTTAGTTACGTGCATGTCTGTAGGAGAGGCAGTAGGGGAGGGATAACGCGCTGTGATACTATTTTTTTAGAATTAAGTAACAAAGTATTCTTGATCGACGCGCTACCTTAAAGTTAACGTAATTATATATCCGTCGTATTATTTATTTCCATACAATAACAATATCAATTGAAAAAATCAATATAAGAGGAAGGTGATTGAAAATTGCATTTGATTTATGTTAAAAGTAGGTTATGTTAATGCTTTTATTTTATATATTTAACCTTTGACTTACGCTTAATGGGATATTTGAAGGAATCATTACCATGGGTAGTGATCCGAGGAGCTGTTTAGAACTCTGCCACTGAGTTTCCTCACCATCTCGATGACTGACATTTCAAATACGTGCAGTTTTTGCGGAACTTTTTGTCTCCCACAGCCGCGTTGTTTAACGATTTATCTTCGGCGGTATTTCCAAACAGTACGACTTAGTGTTCTTCAAGAAGCGAACCTTGACGGCGAAAATGCAGTTCCTCTGGTGCCGCAGATGTCTATGGGCGTCATCGACCACCTCTGTTCCCACCGTTCAGAAATAAATATAAGTTTGAGGAAAAGTTTTTTCGCATTATATTATATTACAGCAGTACATATGATACTTACCTACTTACAAATGACCCATGACCACTGCAAAGTCACGATTAAGTAACATTTTAATTGTTTGTAATGATACTTAAACGAACAAACACAGAGTATTCAACAAGTAGGTATTGTTTGTGGACGAAGAATATTCGAGACCGGAATATTTTAAACAATTGAACTCAAGAAGTAGTAGCGTGTGACTACTTTATAAATTCTACTTTTTGTGACTCATTAAAAGTATATTTACTATGCAATATATTTTATAAAGTAATTCTCAAATACGTGTTTCCATCATCATCATCATCATCGTCCTCGTCATCATCAGTTCTCGGAGATCAGAGATTACCGTAAGTTAGTGATTAGACCTCAGTCAACCACACTAATCCACCGTGACTACATGCATATTTTGAATTTCGTCACCGAGAACTTCGAGTAAATGTACATGTTAAATTTATAAATTGAAAAACATATTAATACGTGTCGGGATTCGAACCTGGAACCTATAGATTACAAGTCAAATACAACCACTAAGCCACTGACGCTGTTTTTCAAACATGTTTTCTTAATTATGTTATTCTAGCAACATGGTATGTTGTTAAAACAAAATTAATCAGTAATTTTTAATTCAAATATGTATAAATAAACAGTAGATAGTACTATCTATCTATACCACAAAATAAAAGTCGTTTAAAAACCTTACGCGTCGGTCTTTTCTGTTACATTTTGTCGTCATTGGTTACTATTTAGGTTACACGGATATGACACTAGTTCCAGAATAGTCGTCGGCACTAAATGCCTAATTAGTAATGCTAGAAGCGCACTGATACTCGATATACTTGTATAAAGATGACTCTGCACATACTATATATAAAACAAAACCATTATTACTATATATAAATAAGTCAGTGTCGTCGATTGATCACGTCATTTTTTTAGCAACTTTATACCTCCTGGTGGTTTTCGGTGAGGTACTTCCCTGTACTCCAACACCAAAATCACGGGTACCATTCAGTACAAAGGGTAAAATGCAATTTTCAGAAAATCTTAAAATACAAATAAATCGTTATCAATTTTTAGTTTATCTTATTAAATTTATTAATTTTTATTATACCAAACCTATTTGTAATTTTTCTTGAATATTTTTCCAACCCCTATAATTTTGAAGCGTGATAGATAATACCTCAGTGCTTTTCATTAATATTGATTTAAACAAACAAAAACTGTCTTGTATTTGTAATATTACAATAGACAGACAATAGTATAATATTTGAGATAACAGACATGGATACTAATATACTAATAGTAAGGAACCGAACGTATCCGAACTCGCAGACAGAATCTTTGCACTTCACATCAGTACTTTAATGTCATAAATTAACAAAAGATAAATAATTCAAGAAAGGTACATAGTATAGTAGCTAAGGACAGATGTACTACTTGCTACGACGCATATTGTCCCATATGTCGTCGACCCATCGATTGTGGAAAATTACTTATCAACAGAAAATAGCCAACGAACAACAAGAAAAGAGGTATTGGTATACGAGAGGCCTGTTACTTTGTAGCCCAGCTATCACAAGGAATAACACCATAAATCATGTAGCATATTGCTCGAAAGGTGTCCCACGCAATAAAGGATCGATTGAAAGGAAGAGAGATACATTGGTGTAGGAAAACTTGTTGCACCGTCTTACATACAGTGCGATAAATTAAACCACAAAACAAAGAGTGTTTACGAAAACTTATCGTCGAATTAATATAAACAAGCTGTCAGCTAACGAGAGGCAAAATATCAGCGAGTTGATAATTAATTGTGAGCTGTCTTGCGTTATCTCACGCGAACGAAAATGACGAAAAACTCAAACAATATAACATTTTATTTTCATTACCAATGTAAAATGTAAGTGATTATCAAGAAATATAACTTAACGAATGTTGTACATTCTTTAAAAATCCAATTAGAACTTATAAAAACAACTATCTTTATTTATTTATACATTTCAGATTGAAGAGAAAAGATCTATGTGTTTCTAAATAACTCTAAAACGATTCGATTTAGCAAATTATTACACCGTTAAAAAGTTACGTTATCACTGGGTAACATAGGCTATGTTTTTTTACTATTTTGCAATTACACCGAGACGAAGACGCGAGCAAAAGCTAGTAGTCTATAAAGTGGTAGAGCTCAGAAAATAACGCCTTAGGCCTCCTAGACTTGTGC